AACACGTAAATAACCTCAATGGCATGTGAGAGCAGATACAAATAACATTACTACCACAATGAACATCTCGAAACATGAAGGAAAAGCTAGAGTAAACCTTTATGGTGGACTCGGTTAAAAAATCAAAAAAATTGAATTCCGATCGAAATTCAACAAACGAAAGGTTGAAAAATGGTGCAGTCCATAAATGTGAAATTAGGAGTTTTTGTGATTGACCATTTCTTAAAAAACTGAATCTCTTGTAGATTCTATAAGCTGCTAAAAACCTACAGGTTAAATATGCTATAAAAACCGGTAGTTGATCATAAAAACCCACCAACGTATGATCATGCAAAATACGTGAGCAATATTTTATGGTAGAAAAGTGAAATATGAAATCGAAAACAACTGAATTTAAGATTATGAAGTAATGGTCAGCTTTGATGTTTAGTCGTAATTTACCAATGTACCTATTAAGAGATTCTTAGATATTACATATAAATGTTTAGAATCAGACAGATTTGAAGTTGCATTATCGTTTAGTGAGAGCTCGTGATTGCATTTAATCTCCAAGTTATCCATATTTCGAGTAGGTCAATATTAAAAGATAGAAGAAGCAGCTGTGGGATAGTTTGTTTCACCGATGGAAATGTATTTACGGAAAAACCTAATCATAAAATATGAGGTCCATCCAAAATACTATTGCTACTCTTACTTTGGCCTGCACCGAAAGAGCACATCGTTCCACAACAGTTTGCTTACAAATACAATGAAGCACCTTAGATGTTCCTGCTGTTCCTATTATAATATAGTGTTCAACTTGGAAAAGAGTAAGAAGTATGTTCGATGCGCTTTTCTGGACCATACTCCTTCCTTTGGCTTTTTTCAAGACAACCTCTACTTAGCAAGTTCTGAGAGCGGGAACTTCAATAAAGATTAATACATGGCTCCTCATGTCAAATAAGTGAGAGGTTTGGAAACAGCAGTCCCAATCAATGAAAGCCGAGTGACCGAAACAACTCAGATTAAACACGTGATTCGGATTTCTATCAAAAGTGATTAATTTTCTGTCTCAATTATATAAGTCGAGAAGGACTGAGAAATCTCGGTTTAATTGTGAACCTTTCATCATCAGGATATACTTCAAATAGATTATTGAACTGTTAGTAGAACTCATCTTTAGAAACACGTGGACTGCAGTCTGTTGGCTTATAAGAGATAACGATATATTTCCTCACACCATTTTCATCCTATTTTGATGGAGTATTCTTATTTAACATGACTATTTGGAATCTGGTCGGTCAATTTACTGATTAATAAATAGAAACTATTGTCCCTAACTTTCGCCTCTGTTTACTACTGTAAATACTATCAACATTGTACTTCTGTTTAGTTGTTTAAATTCTTCCTTTCAACAAATTCTTTTCAGATTCTACAATTATATATCCCAATTATCAACCAGAAAAGTGGTCAAGTTTAGGGAAAATGTCATTTGTTTAAAGATGTGAACTTAAGATGGTTAAACAAAATAACGTTTTTAGTGTTTAGATGAAACATATGCATATCTAGTTTTAATGAATATCATAGCAAACAACCCGACTATTTTCAGTTGTTAAGTTCAATTCCCTCAGATGTACTTTCAGTTTTATGACGAATAGAACGATTGAATCGACTCATTGAGATATTATAACGATAATATACACTACGCATATATCATCACATGACGTATGTTGAGTAAATTTCATGTTACATGAATCATCAATATTTGAACATGTTTAGGACAAAAATCTCGACAATGCAATGAGAAGACGAAGGTTATCAAAATCATGTGATATTTGCGCAATACATTTCGAACAATGTGACCACACATATACTTGTTAAGAACATTTATATATGAAACTTAAAACGTCAACTAGACAGGTTAAAGGTAAGCCGTAACAAAGAAAGAAAATAAATAAAGAACACAAAAACAACGTGATAACCACTCTGGATAATAAATCAGTATTACCAGGGTAGGTTAAGGGTAAGAACAAAATGTTTTTGAACACATAAAGGGGGTTTCAATTTCCGTATTGCCAAGGTTTCGGTAAACCTTAGTATACACCCTCGAAGGCCTTTGAACAACACTACAAATACTGACATGATATCAGCCTTATGATCGATCCCAACCAAATGTTTCCATAGTATTTGTAGTACATATATGATTGATCATATTGAATAAGCCCTTTATTAATCGTTTGTAATTGAGTGGACAATGACTACGGAAATGGATATATTTCCCTGTCCATGTAGGCGTTCTATATACAGAACGTTTGATGCAACCATCGCACAATATCTCGTATTGATTAGGGTTAAACATTAACACCGTAAGACGCATGGCCAGATTGTCTAAAGTTCAAGCGTTCGCGCACAGGACCATAGGACTTGAGTTTTGACCCCACGTGCGGTGTCGAGAGTGCGCACTACCGACGAGTTCCATACTAGGAAGAAATGGCCGTCCAATGCATCCAGATTTCCAATATTATTTTATTGTCTATTTTCTCGAATTTCACCCCGTTTCCTATCTTTAAGGATTAATTCAAGCTTTCGTAACTGCTATCACTACTGGTACACCTACCATCAAATTGTCAGTTTGTATTGTTGAATTATGTAGCTTATTTAGTTATCACTGACTGATAAACTACCTTGATAGGTTTAATATTCGTCATATGCAAATAAATGTAGCGGTGTGTATGTCATAGCCTGATGAAAATCTATTTGAAAACAGTATTTTCCCCTACTACTACGACCATCATCAGGAAGGTACAAGTATTTATAAACAGTTGTCTACGCAAAATACTCAACACTCACTGGCCGGGTACTATCAGCAACAGCGTTTTATGGGAGAGGACAAACCAGCTTCCAGCTGAAGAGGAAATTAGGAAAAGACGTTGGAAGTGGATCGGACATACATTAAGGAAATTACCAATGTGCATCACGACTCAATCCCTAACTTGGAATCCGGAAGGGAAGCGGAAAAGAGGAAGGCCAAAGAACACACTACGCCGGGAAATAGAAGCAGATATGAAAAGGATGAATAGCAACTGGAAAGGAAGGCTCAGGACAGAGTTGGATGGAGAATGCTGGTGAGCGGCCTATGCTCCTCGACGAGGGGTAACAGGCGTAAGTAAGTATTTTCTTCTCATATATTCTGTTGTGACACTGTGAAATTATGTAATAAAATTGAGATGTTGCGAGTAGTAGTTTCGAACATCTACACTCATGTCAAATAAGTGAGAGGTTTGGAAACAGCAGTCCCAATCAATGAAAGCCGAGTGACCGAAACAACTCAGATTAAACACGTGATTCGGATTTCCGTCAAAAGTGATTAATTTTCTGTCTCAATTAAATAAGTCGAGAAGCCTGATGAAAATCTATTTGAAAACAGTATTTTCCCCTCATATATTCTGTTGTGACATTGCTGTCCCTCCACTCATTTAGGCTCACTCACTGGAACATGTTAAATATTATTATTGGACTGTTGGCCGATGGAAAGCTAATAAGAAAACATTTAGATCTATATAGGTATCAATACCATAGTTAGACCTGACAGTTTTAAATAAATTAAGCATTGGGTAAAAACTTAATGATAAATATATTTTTTGTTACTTCCCAATGGGTAGAAAAATTGCATTTCAAACGTTTCAATTTCCGTATAGCCAAGCCTTCAATAAACCTTAGTCCGTGAAGGCTTTTGTACAACACTACAAATGCTGACTTCATATCAATTTTATGACGTTTCAATCAAATGTTTCGCAATGGAGGAAGATATCTGTTTATCCTGTTATCTTATTTGACTATTGGGGTTCATTTATTTCTGCAGCCATTTAGGTGTGTTCCGCCACCCTTAATTGCAGATCACGATTGCTCCTCCCTATGTACGTACTCCCGCACATACATGTAAATCGATGGACACAATCACTTTAAGTGTTCAAAAACATTTTGTTCTTACCCTTAACCTACCCTAGTAATACTGATTTATTATCCAGAGTGGTTATCACGTTGTTTTTGTGTACTTTATTTATATTCTTTCTTTGTTACGGCTTACCTTTAACCTGTCTAGTTGACGTTTTAAGTTTCATATATAAATGTCAACAAGTATGTGTGGTCACATTGTTCGAAATGTATTGCGCAAATATCACATGATTTTGATAACCTTCGTCTTCTCATTGCACTGTCGAAATTTATCAAAGGGACTAATTGTTTTAAGTTTCTGAAAATAGGACGAAAATGTTTATGGCCTTATTTATCTTCGAGAATTTTGATTGCTTCCTAGCAAAGGTCAACTAACATTGCCTGTTACGTGGACATAAACAACAAGGGAAGTAGCACGAATCTACATTCGTCTAAGTGGCCACACCACATCAGCACAAGCCAAGATTAAGCATAGAAGACATGGTTCAGGACTTACTTACGCCTGTTACCCCTCGGTTCAGGAAGAGACAAATAATTCCCAGAATAAAACAACTTTAAAACCCAAGATATCAGGAGAGACAAAAATGCATCTGATCTACGTCACTCAATATCTGTACATACTAGTCACACAGATTCCGATTACATACTCTGCTCTTACTAAAATACTTATGATCAACAGTTAATGACTGTGTCAAGTGCTGGTTTGGGTGTTCCTAATATTCGTCCAGCCAATACTGTGCCTCGTGGTAAGCTGTTGTTAGGGATATGTAATATGAATCACAAGGATTTCATTCAAAGATTAGCAGCCTCATGAACCGGTTTATCAACTTAATCTTGTACCCAATGCCTAACCTCACTACTATTTGCTCAGATGTCGCGATTTACGCGGGTAATGCTTTGAAGACACATGATCAAATACAGGTATGGTACAAGATCTTTGTTAGAAATGTTAACTAGTCACTATTAATAAATGAAATGTCTGTTAAAAATATAATCATTTCTTTATGTTCTTCATACATTTGGTGCGCAACTATTGCAAAACCTCTCCTCTAAGAAACTGGACGATAATTTTCATGAACGTGTTCTAATAATTTATTACAAAAATATAAACAATATTTTCGGTTTAAACGAAATGTTCATTACATGTGTTTACATGAAGTATCATATTTATATAATCAATAGTATATGCAACGTGTCCTGTGCATTGGAATTTCGGCATCGATTTCATCAGCATGAGAGCGTCGATAGTTCCAAAGGAAATTGTCCACCATAATTGAATTGCAACTAATATTCTTGCTATTCAAAGACTTGACAATATTCTGAAGGAAAAAAACAGATACAATATTAACTATGAAATATTCTTTGCAGTAATTCTAACTTCCCAGCAATTCCATGGATTTTCTATTGTATAGTCAGGATGAGCGTATGAGAAAAAATCATCAAACAGTTTTAGTGAAAATAAATAAACATGTTGTCAACATAGTTTATCCAATTTTTTTCGACCATTACAGAATACATTCTACTTTACAATAGATATGTACCATAACAAAAGAATTAGCAACTGGAACTTTCCTGTTAAACTGAATGTTTAAAATACAGCTCGAGAGAAAAAAACTTTATGGCAGAAAACTATTAGGGGATTACCTCTTTTAAAGTCCAAGTGATAACAGGGTATTATTAATTTACCAAATACATTTTTATCAATTTGATTTTTAGGCTAGTATTACTACCTGATGGATTGTAAATACGTAGAACGAGATCTGGACCTATTGAAAGGCCAACGCTTTAGCCACTAGCCAGCATTTATGTAATTCGATAACTAATTCAAAAGGCACTTAATCGACCGAATACAGCTGTTACAGTCAATGTCAAACGTGAGAACAGGTTTAGTAAAAACAAAATCTTACTTTGTTACATATCCTTATCTGACTATAATGGGAACAAATAAAAGATCACACAGTACCATGAAATTACAATTATAATGTTAAAGAGAAGGTATGTAAATTGCGGCCATGAATTGGTGCGAATAAAAATATAATACATACCATCTCAACTTTGAAAATTATGGGTCTTATATTACAACGAACAACCGATAAATTGAAAACTGTTTGTCAAGTGTACTGAGATACAAAATGATCACAGAAAGATTATATAAATACTAACTGAAAAACTATTTTGAGGTAGGATAATTGAAGACTGATTTGCCGCGTATATCACTTATGTGTCTATAAATGCAGTGTGGTGTGAATGTGACTAGACATTCGATGTATAAATTGAACTAGACCGAATATAAGTGAATACCGGTAACTAGTAATCCAGTTTCAACATAGAATATCACACTTATTTTTGAACATCGTATCATTTTATTTTACAGTTACTTCTCCAAGATCAACAGATTTAAGAATATGAAAACATCTTCCTAAAACATTCTTTTAGCAGTTCTAATTTGATAAGATCGGTAGTCACCTTACGGTGATTTCAGAATTTTACCTTAATGTTATATAGACTGTTTATCAAAAAATTCAGGAATCACTTACATGCACAGCTAGTATTGTGGCTGCTCGAATTTCAACCTCTAATTCGCTTCCGTTTGCAATTTCTTCACCTAGATGAAGAATACATAGGTAGATCAAACAGCTGTTTACTGTTTTTTTAAGACATTTTAAAATATAAGTTGAACATTGTGCGGTTGACAGGAAGTTAAGATTCAATCCTTCATAGTTGAAGTTCGAGGACATCGATGTGACAAAAACAGCACACGGAATGTGTTATCAAATTTTAGTTTGGCTGATACCAAAAGCTATGGGATATTAATGAGCTCTGATACTAGTCACTAAGATCTATTGCTACGTTGTTCATCATGAAGCATTTAATTCGAAAACAATGCTCACGACAAGCATTCGAATTTTTTGGTTTTGAACCACGTTTCTTGAGGAAAATTACAAACCAGCTAAATAATCAGTTTTACAACAACTCAGTATATTTCAATAAAGGATACCTACGCCTGTGAATAAAAGCAAAATTTTCGAACTAGACTGAATAGAGTCTTAACCAAAGCTCATTTATGACTAATCGGATAGAAGCTATTAAAATCCAAATAAAGTCTGTTCCATATTTAGATGAATAAACCTTTGAATTCAACCATTTCTTTAGATCGACAGATTCTTTTTAATTTTCTCAAGTACTAGAAAATGTTATTATTGCTGATAAATTCTCGGTTTCATTTGATGACATGGTTTTTCACTGCGATTTCATTAGAAGAAGCCATAGAAATAATATGTGGACACATTGACCTTTCTCTACCAAAGAATAACTTCAAACAGCTCTTACTAATATGTACAAGAGATGTACAATTCCCGTTCAACAACCCCTTTTAACGTCAAGTTGATCCAATAGCTATGAGGAGTCCGTTAGGCTCAATTTCGGAAGATATATTTATGGCCGATCAGAAAAGATAAACAAGACGATAATTAGCGAGAAAGCCATGAATATCATACATGTTAATAACACATTCGTTCACCGCAATCGTCACAAACGCACTGAATCTTCTTAATCATGTACATTCAAATATACGATGTACATTGAAGCATGAGTTTTACTTTCTAAACCTAGGTATCCAACGTAATGAAAATGGTGGAATTCAAAGACTTGCTCATCTAAAAGACACATGGAATGGACTTTGTTTGAATTTTAATAGCTTCCGTCCAATGATTTAAAAAAGGAGAACGGTTTTTTGTTCGTGACAATAATAAAACCGCTGTAACTGCTTTATTACCGTTATCTCAGTAATTTAATTAGTTAACTACTTTACAATCAACACAGTGGACCCAAAAATCAAGCATGTAACGTAAAATGTCTAAAAATGAATACTGATAATTAAGTATAAATGCAATAAATTTGAACCTGTTAAACATATAAAAAAACAGTACCATTGTGTATCTTTTTTGTTAGATCCTCACTGTATTCTATTGCACCAAAATAATGTAACACTTGTGGAACTCTAAATGATATTTTGTATGTAGGGAAAGCTGGTACCTGTAGTCAGCAAAGGCAGTAATCTCATCTATATCGTGGAAATACCCAAACCCTTTGCCCTCAAAACAGTACCATAAGTCACCAACCAAAATCTGAGCACGTTTTAAGAATGACACTAAAAAATTAAAGAAATGAAACTAAATACCGTGTTTTCCTTTGTATAAACTATAATCACGGAAAGAAGGGAAATAATCACACAATAATTTTAGAAGCTTTGCTGCAGAATTTTCACATGAGGACAGAGCGTTTTTAAATGACCCATCGAAATTCTCGAGTAAAGTTTTTCCAGCACATCTCAGAGCATTTAATCTTTCATCAAATAATGGTATAGGCTCAGCCGTATGCGAACGAAATATGTATCTCAACTGATCCTCTGTCACACTTTGGTAAACTTCAGGATTTAACAGGTCTACTCCTTCCTAAAAACACAAACGAATAAAATTCCTCGACTTACATCGATAGCTCGATTAACTGCTGCACAGAGGGCCCAATAACCCGTATAAATTTTATTGCAGTATGACACTTCAAAATTAACATGACTGTTACTCCAAAATGAAAAGTTAAGTAAAGAAGTCACAAATATCCTAGATGGCCACAGATGTTAATACGATAAAAATTACCATTCAATTGATCGTTCATCAGCAACGTTAGGAGTTAGTTCCTGATTGATCCAAGACTTCGTATCAAACGGGGAATACTTTTCGCACACCTTAATCACTTATCATAATACTATTTTAACTCAACCATTTCCACTAGACATTGAATGTTCTCTACGTTAATGCTCACGTGCTCAGCATTTTGCATTACAAACAACGATGAGGAAAGAGGTGCCAAGTATTCCATGAGTTGAGTAACAGATATAGAATGCTGAGCTAAAAAGAGATAATATTCGAGAAAACCGTTGCATTAAAATAATACAAATCAATAAAAGTAGGAGTAAAATAAGAACATAATTCCACAGGAAAGCAATGTAAAACTCTTTAGTGAACACATAAGTTTAAGCTTAATTCTTCAGTTAAACATTGACGGTAACTTGGTACAGAGATTTATTCTTCAAGAAGGATTAGTGTTTCCTAGGTGTCACAACAGAAGTTGTTGAGAGAGATTATTTACAGACATATGGTACTTATGAAAATGATGTCTCACAGACGTCAGCGATAAACTAAAAAAATAGTCAGTGACCACCATTGAGTCCAGATAGTTTTAGTGATAAAAACTGCTTTATAAACCTCACTTGGCTCTAGAAAATAGGTGAACAATCTTATGGTCACTTAAGAGTCGTTTAATAGTCGTCCACGAATTATAGTTTCGCCTAAATATCTACTACTACGCAGCCCTCCAGCTTTGATACAATTTTGATTAGCATTTTAAAGACACTTTGAGAAATTGTAACTATAACACTGAAACTTCATGGAGATGTGGGAATTTTCTTAAAATTTTCTCAGATCTCGGAACTTCCTAAGACAATATATATTTTTCAAGTCGCGAAATATCGCTGAATATATTCAGCATGTTAAAACAGGACTGCGAACTTTAAGAGCTTAGTTCAGAAAATGGGAATATCGTACCAATTTCATTACAAATATGAGCATTTCTAAGTAAGATGTAAGTATCCATTGATAGTTACCGTTGATTCGGTTTACAGAACGATGAAAAGTAAGGGTGATATCACAGATTATATTGCATCTTTGTTGTAGTCATGAGTTACAATTTAGGCCATGGAAACGATATGTTCTGTAAGGATGCGAAGAATATATAACGGATGTAAGCAGTACGAAGTGATATAACATGTTTCTTTTACGTGTTGGAGTACCAGATCCAATGACAAAACGTGTGTTGATTATCCGTCAGATCGTCTGATGCAGTTCTCGAACACGGAGCACCATAGTAAATACTGAGTAAACGAAAGACGAAACGAAACAAGCACTTTGCCATAATAGAGCTTTATTAACAGTGAAAAAGACGGAATCTTTATATCAAGAATAACACAGGCCATCAAGCCTCCTGTCATTTCCAAACTGAAACTGAAGTTCATTTACACAAAAAGGTATATTGAATTCGTGCATTGTATCCTTGGCTACTTCGTTGTGAAGACTCTGAGCATTCATGTAAAGACTTCGCATTTTTGTTTAAAAATCTATCAACTGTAATGACATTTTTATTTGAAATCTTTTTAATGAGTTTTCTGTGAGAAGCTTGTTACAGAGCAACAAGGGAGTCAACATTAGCACTAAGGAGAGTAAAAAGAGCCATTTGAGCTACTTAAGACGATCTGCGTGACTCCCAGATATTATCATGAGGCAAAAGCATGAGAATACTAGAAACAGTTGACGGCTGAAAGCGCGCTATTTAAAAGGACAGTGGTATTGTTTCATGTTGAGTTTAATTCACTGTTTTGATCGTAAATTACGTATCAAAACTACCGTTTACACTTTAATTGAATTTATTTCAGTTAACGTGACATTGTATTTGTGTGTTTTGATCCTGCTTTTGTGTATTTACTGCATCAAAGCATTCTTGGTCGACTGAGGCTTGTTTATTTGATAAGGTTGTGATTTATCTTACATATCTACCTTGCCTATCATTTTGCTTTATTCTAAGATGGTCGGCTCTGTACACAAGTGTGGACAGCCATATTGCTTATTCCCCGTGGAAGAAGGGATGCAATGTGACGAATGTAAGAAGTGGTTTCATAAAATGTGCACCCGCTTAAGCCCTGCTGCCTATAAAAGGCGTTTGATAAGGTTTCACACTTAGGTCTTATGCAAAAGCTCTCGAGCTTTGGTATAACAGGTGCTATACAGGAATGGATAGGAAGCTTCTTATGTGACCGCAGACAGAGAGTGAGAGTCAATGGAACTCTATCCGAATGGAAACCGGTCAGAAGTGGTGTACCCCAAGGCACCATCTTGGGCCCTTTACTTTTCCTTCTGTATATTAATGAACTACCCTTATTACTTAGGTCGTCGACGTTATTGTTTGCGGATGATGTTAAAATCTGGAGAACAATAAGAAATGAGACTGATCGTTGTTATCTACAAGCAGATTTAGACGAATTAGATAGGTGGGCTCATGATTGGGGCCTGGAAGTTAATTCCAGGAAGAGTGTGTTCATGCACATCGGGCACGATATTAGTTACCACTATACCATTAATGGTACATCTCTGCCACGCGTTCATGCGCATAAAGACTTAGGAGTAATTATAAGTCACGACTTAAAAACTACTACGCACTGCAATGCGGTTGCTTCCAAAGGCTTTCGCGCGCTATGGTCGCTTCGCAGAGCATTTAAATGCTTTGACGAGGATATGTTTCGAATTTTATATCCCACCTATGTAAGGCCACACTTGGAATACTGTATCCAAGCAGCTAGCCCTTGTCTGATAAAGGATACTAAATCGCTTGAGCGTGTAGGGACAAAATTAGTAGAGGGTCTTTCAAAACTCCCTTACGATGAGCGTTTAAAACGTCTAAATCTTTTCCCCTTATCTTATCGTAGGACGCGAGGTGACCTTATACTGGCATTTCGTATCTTTAATTATGATCTGGGTGTTAATGTCTTATCTTTTTGCTCCCTCCAGCACTAATAATCTCCGGGGTCATAGCAAGGAGGTTCTGAAACCGCGATCTAATAAACTAAAGGTGGGGTCCCGTTTTCTCATCGAGTGGTCAATGACTGGAACGCTTTACCAGAACAAGTGGTATCAGCACCATCAGTGAACATTTTCAAAAAGAAGCCGGACCTTCACTGGAAGGAAATCTGTCAGGATTAACACAGGTTCATCAACCTACTATCCTTATTACTGAAGACTGAAGACTGAAGACCAACGTGTGTAACCAACCTCGAAAACTTCTTGCGGTACGAGACACCCGCCGTGATGTTTTGCCGTTGAAGGTCGTTGAAATAATTGTTTCGGTAAGTAAAACGAACGTCTGAAAGGCACCTCATACGTAGTTTAATTAATTGCACCCTAGATAAGGGCATTAGATCGAGTATTCTAATCAGATCATCAATACGTATTGTCGTGCTTCGTTAATCAATCACCTCGATAACCGTTGTAATACCAATCTTAACGGTGCATGAAATCAGAAGGCAAAGAGAAGAGGCAACTACAATTTATTGACAAATGACTCATGCCAGAAGGTTACAAGCACATGAGCTAATATCAGAGAGTAGTGAGCAGTCAGCGAGCAAGCAATTACATAGGCAATGTATAGTCAAATTTAATAAGGGTACAGCAAAGCAAAACAAAGGTTGATGATAGGATTTGAGTGCATACATATATGGGGATGAGTATGAGTTATCGAATGATACCTGAGCAATCAACATTTTGGCTAGAGTGTCATGTGCTCTAGTGGCAATAACAGTACAAAGAATATGCAAATTGTCATTAACCAAATGGCGATGTCTGTTAGGTAAGTTAATAAAAAGGCTAAACCAAAATTTACCATACTCGAAATCGATTGTAGGATAGTTGCTATAATCGGATACTTTGTGTTATGCGACCCTCACAACAACCACCTAGCTTCGATTAAGCGCCCCATAATATATCAGTTTCAGTTTGAAAACGACAGGTGCCTAGAGGGCCCTTGCTAGCTCTAGTAGTGGTGATTTCTAAGTTTATCTGACTTTCTTTTGAAATCGCCAACGGATGGAGCTTCAATCACGTGTTGAGGCAATAAATTTCATTCGTTGATGATTCGATGGGAAAGACGACAGTCAGTTGGCAAGTTATTTGCTATGGGTCTGAGATTATTAATCTAATGTCTTTGTAAATCCTCTGTTTTAGATGACAAGAAAAGTGTGGGCATATGAGGTGCAAATAATTCACTAAGCAATTTGAAAACTGTAATCAAGTCGTCTGTAGTTCTTCCATATGACAAAGAGAATAAGTTTAGTTTAGCCAATTGTGTATCATACGAGAGCTGCTCTACTCCGGCAATGAGCTTAGATGCTTTTTTTCGAAACCTTTTTCAAAAGCTCACTGTCTGTTTTAAGCAGTAGCTAGTCGCTTGTATGCAGTACTCAAGTTTAGGACGCACAAATACTGTTTACAAAGAAACTTCAAGTGTCGAAATGTCTAAAAGTCCTACGTACTGACCATAGATTCCTGAAACCATTGGCAGCTATTACATGGCAGTATCCAGTACTTTTTAAATCCTGACCAACGATGACTCCTAAGTCGTTGTGTGTCTGGATAACAAGTAGCTCAATGTTATTCATCATTTATGTATCTGTACCTTGATAACCAATATGTATCGCAATACACCTGGAATCATTGATCGGTAACTGCTAATTTTTGACCAGTCAGATAATTTTCCCAGGTCGTTTTGGAGCTCCAAACTGTGACCATTACTATTTATCGCTCTCCATACCTTGACATCATCAGGATATAGCAAAACGATCATTTAAGGTCATTTACGTGCAAGTGGAATAACACTGGCCCCAAAACTATACACTGAGCACTCCACCAAGCACAGTTTTCTAGCTTGACAACTTGGAGTTCACCTTTACTCTTTGTTGTCGCCTATCTAGGGAGCTTGTTATCCACATCAATAAATTGTTTCCAACCCCGTTCTTACCTGACTTATATGATAGCAGGTTTCGAATAACTTTGTCAAAAGCTTTGCTGAAGTCAACGTAGGCTAGATCCATAGGTAAATTTTGGTCTTTAAGAGAACAACAACTTTCACGGGCTACTAGTAGGTTGGTGAAACATGAAAGATCTGTTCTAAAGTCATGCTGCTTTTCAAGAAGAATCCGCTTTTATTGAAGTATTTAATAATCTTTTCCAAACTTTTTATAACCACGCTAGTCGGACATACAGGCCGGAAGTTCTCAGATTTGTTTCTCCTACCTATTTCGTATATAAGACTTATAACGATGAGCACGTGCCACAATAATCGGCGTAGTCCTAATCATCTTACACAATTAAACATCACGTTTGAATTTTCAAGCTCCAGTACTTAAAGTATGGTGGTTTTGAATGTCTCACGATGTGTTGAGGAGCGTTTGGGCTAAGCTTGTTAGCATTTGCAAAGGATGCGTGGCACAGGGTACCCACTCGTGATCTGGTACTGATGTGTAACCAAGCGCCTTGAGCTAGTTTTGTCCAATGAACCTAATGCAGTCAGCATCAAATTTACCGCCACATTACCAATCAGGAAATACTAAAGTAATATTATTACGACGGAAGGAGCATAGCTGCAGGCAAAATTCAACATAAAGCTTATACTTGGTCAAATATTGAACACAAAACTTAGTGACGAGAATATGATAATTAGAAGTATTTGAATTGTAGTATGAACTAGTAATTCCAGGAATAACACAATTTAATCAAGAAGTATCAGATGAGCCCGAACGAATGTATTGTATTTGGAATTCAAAATTACAACAGTCATCAATACTAAGAAGTCATTGATTTATTTAAACACCACAACCGCCACAGCTCGAATTGGAGTGTAAGTGTCTGTAATCGATTGTTCGTCTTCTTAAATTCATCTTACATCGGTCCGAAAGTGTATTGGATGTAGACTCTGTATTATCTAGAATGCACTCATTAGTATTAGAATTAACAACCAAAATTGGAACAGACTCACCTGGGTTCTGGAATTGTATACAATCAGCATGCCGGCTTTGTAGTGAAACCATTGATATTTAGAATTTGCATCATGGGTTTTCCAACAATATCCTCCCCCACGAAATAATGTTGGGTCCTTATGTCGCAATGTTTTAACCAATATGACATTTCCAATTTACAGTATCTTCTCAAATCTCACGCATCGACTACTGTATATGAGTATTTGGGAATAAACACTGATATATAATTTGAGGTATTCCATCATGTGACTTTGACTTGAATAAAAATCATGATACATATTCTTTTTGTTATTCATATTAGAATACACAGATGGATATACATTGATATATGTAATTAACACACGTGATTCAATTAGGCTTGATTTACCTGCGAAACAATCGGATAGAAAACATTCATCTGCCTCATATTCATTAGGATAATCTTGGACTTGATTTGGATTCTCTGTCTGTGCAAACTTCACTTCTGGGCAAACTGGTTCTCTGGTTGCTTCGGAAAATTTTGCTATCCCCTCTGTATCATTATACCCCTGACTAGGGATTCTATTCAACATGCATTGTTCGTGAGAGTATCCAACATATGACACAATAACATCAGAAATATGACTAGAATTCAACTCATAAGAAACATATTTTTCACATTCATGAGGAATATCATTAGAGATAAATTCATTATGAGGACCACTGACACTTGATATGATATGAGAATTCGATTCTTCTGAAATATTTTCCTCAAATTGATTAAGAGTTTCATTAGGTAATGGATCATCAGGGAATTCAACATCTACCATGACTGAATTTGGTTTTTGATCATGATTTGACTCATTTAACATTCTATTCTCAGAGTTGTAAGAAATTACATCAGAAGTATGTGAATTATTACGACAAACCATATCTGGCACAATAACATGAGAAATCTGATAAGTTGATTGGTTGAGAATTTTCGCCTCCCAATGACTCTGGGTTTCATTCAACTCTGGACTGTTATATAACGTTATACCTCTTCTAGATAAAGATAACTGATCATTAGAAGCATCCATCTTAGCATTACTTTCAGCGAAATGAACCATGGTATTACAAACTGACTGAATATGTCCAGTTATACCACATTTAAAGCATTTAGAAGTACGAAATATACATGAATTACATGGGTGAAACTTGCCGCAGAACATGCATTTACTAAACTTGTGCTCATCATCATGGACTGTTTCACAACTCAATGAAGTATTATCTGAATAAATTTGATTACGCATCGAACTGCGACGACTGTTTGAATAAGTGGAATTCCTGATGTTCTGACGAGTCATTTTATCGGATTTTCCTTTCTTACCGCATTCGGAATTTGTATACTTTACATGATCCAACAGAAGTTGCTTGAGAGTTGCATAGGGGAGTGAAATCGGTTTGTCTGGAAGTGCCAAAATCTTTATAAGGCTGTATGCTTCTTTCCCGATGAATGTAAGGAAATGGGCCACAATATTAAAATCCTCATCATCTTCCTTGGTCATAGCCCAGATTTCGAACCTTTCCATGTACTCCTCAAAAGCATTAAAATCTGAATTTATATTTAACCGTTCCATCACAGGCTCAGTCGCGACGCCAATATGATAATTAGAAGTATTTGAATTGTAGTATGAACTAGTAATCCCAGGAATAACGCAATTTAATCAAGAAGTATCAGATGAGCCCGAACGAATGTATTGTATTTGGAATTCAAAATTACAACAGTCATCAATACTAAGAAGTCATTGATTTATTTAAACACCACAGAGAACCAAGAAATTTTCCATAATAATCCAACTAATCGATACTGCAAATATCCAGATAGTGATGTATACTGCACAAAGAAAACATTCATAAATGTGCTAAAATCTTTGCATAAAAACTCATATTAATGCGTTGAGATTTATTTGAAGAATATGGTTATACTTGAAAACATAATCTTATGAAGATAAAATATTATTAAATCAAAACCAACAAAAAAATAATGTTGCTTGGTTTAGCAAAAATTTTCGTGCTCTGCTAGTTGGTTCCGTTAGAAATTGTTAATATCCCATGTAAGTTTAAGCCGGTTAAGTGTTTATTTTGTCGGTTGTTCTCAGGTATTCTATGCTGATCTCTTACATGCTCTCGGTCACTGTAATCGGAGCACCAACTGTAAAAGTATTACATTTTAAATATTCTGGCTGTAGTCAAGCCACATCAGAAGATCAGAGTAATACATTCACCGAGTAAAAATACGTATATCCTATAACTTTGAACTGTTAACATGTAAATGTTGGTTGTCTTGAGTGAAGAACATGAGGATCAGGAAAGCTATCCCATTGATCGTATCGACTTACCACGTACTAATTTGATAGCTGTGAGTCGTGTGTTAGCTTTTAGTTCATCTTCTTTCACGTGAATATCGGTTACATAATGAATACCATAGGATACGTTCGATTATCCGGGGATTCGTAGTCAATTGTAGATAAGAACTCAAATATTAACTAGACAGAAAAACAAAAGCTTCAGAATGATCATAACCAAGTCACTTGGTTGATGGACACATTCACGTAAACTGAATCTATCAGTCAATGAGAAAAGTAATAAGTCAATACAAGATTACTGTTCATATCGTAAGAGAAATAGGTATCAAAAAACTTTAAGAACAATGGCAACACAACTGGTGAAGCACAAATGCTGAAATTTAATTTTGATTAAACAGTGTTGATCATCATAGAAAAAAGTGTAACACATCAATCAGTTTAGAAGTTTGGGCTGATGTTTTTCTAAGAGTCAACTAAAGCTTCTTCAATCAACCCTTCAGCTCAAAGTGCGTGACACTTTCAAAAATGAATGTATGTGTTGTTTATTTTACTATCTATCTGGCTTTCTTGCAACACACTGTTTTCCCTATTAGACACTTGGTGGATTGCTTCATTAACCAAATTTTGACAATATGCATACAGATTACGGGTGATTATGGATTTATTTTATTCCTGCACGTGGCTACCTCTAGACTTGACCACTATTATCAAGATAAACAAACGTAAAAATTCTTGAGTTAAAAACTTAAACTCTTTCTATATTTTCTATCGAATCAAATATTCTGTTCCCAAATAACGGATAGAAAATTAAGAAAAAAGCATGTCTCTATGATACCTGTATTTATTTCTGTAGGAAAAAAGAAATTTTAGTGACAAAGAAAAAAATACTGTCCAAGATGGTTAATTCAAGGTTTAAATGTGCATTCGTATCAATCACTTTAATAGTGAAAATAAAATTTCAAAATAATCATTCTTTTTTTGTTATTCGTTTGGTTTGATACCTATCTATCTCTTTAATCTTTTATAATTTTAATGTTGGTAACTAAAAAATAATAAAATATGATTATTTTGCTTATACTTTGAATAAATAAAAAATAAAGCTATAATAAATAGATAAGAAAGAATATAGAGAAATAAGAAAGGCAAGTATTTAAACATTACTTAAATGCAATTCCCTTCAAAATGTAAATAACCATAGAAGGAAGATTGAAATTGCACAGTAAATTCAAGAAAGTAATGAAATACTGAATATTGGACCTTCGTATTAGAAAAAAAAATATCAAATTAAGCATACATGGGAATTATAATTGTGACAGAAAAAGTTAAGCAGATCAGGAGAATGTCATCTTGTTGTTCAGTTTATTTGCATGATTTGGAAATTTATATTTCTCGTCTTCATATAATGTTAGGATAGATGAATTCAATGGAATTAAATGATATCTAATAAATTTGAAATATTTTAAATAATTTCATCTTTCATATAAGCTTTTTTCTTATTGAATGGAATGAATGATTTCATTGAAAGAACACAGGCAACATCATATTGTGTTATTTAGAAAAATAAAATCGGAAAGAAAAGTAAGTAAAGGAGAACAGAGTTTATCATTTGTAAGAAAACAAACCTATTTAGAAAATAATTAAATGGAACATTCTTTAAACAATGTAAAAATGAAGTATTATTTCAAATTTGAATCAAACCCTTCAGAATGAAATCGTTATAACTGTTCTAATGAATAGTAAAATTAAAAATATAGCTAATATATAATACTTGTATGTTGCATGTATTTATCATGTACATAATTGACAAATGTTGATTTTTTTTATCATGAAGAATCACTTGTTGTAACTGGATGGGTTTGTGGAGTAATTGTGTATATTTTCCATTCAGGTAGAGTAGGTTGTGATGACGTAATGTTCAAATACGGCAGACCTAACATCGGTGTTGGTTGACAACTTGGTGAAGGAGATAAAGTTTCCATTGAAATATCATGAAATCGTGACACATTAGGATTAGATTCAATTGAAGTGGTTTGCCATGGAATCGGTGTATAAACAGATGGTTGAAAAGTAACGGAACTCAGATACGAACTTTGTATTGATGTATCAATTACTGATGTACTTAACAGTTGTTCATGTGAATATGTGTCTATCTGTTCCTGTGGACATGGTATTTGGGCTGTTTTGTTAGAAAACGAGCTTTCACCTGAGTGAATCTCTTTAATTAGGCCACAGTTGTGAACTTTTTTATGCCTTGTACGTTCATCGGACCGAGCGAATTTACGTCCACAAGATTCACATGTATATGGGCGTTCACCAGTATGAGAACGAGTATGTGTTCTTAGATGGTCAGAACGGCCAAATGAACGTGGACAGTACTTACACATAAAGGGTTTAGTTCCAGTATGTATTCTATGATGCCGTTTAAGTTCATCTGGGCGAGCAAATCGTTTTCCACACTGTACTTCAGGACAGCAATATCGTCGTTTTTCCAAAGATTCCCCGCTTTGTCTAGTTGAACTGGAAGGTACAGTAGTGGTAGATGGAGTAAATGTTTTGTACATCAATGTTGATGGTCCTGGTTCAGTAGAAAGAGATGGAGCTGCACTATAATCCACCATGTAACTAGTAAACGTTTCAGTACTTAATGGTCTGGACGATTGGCTGATAGAAAAAACATCAAAATAATCTTTGGAGCATGGTATATTATAGTCTTGTTCAGATGGAGCTGATTTTGGATGAGAAATATGGTATATATCTGGCCTTTCAAATATCGGCCCTTCAGGAACTGAATAGTGTCTTTGAAGGGGTTTTTGTGTAGATGAAATTGTGAACTGTGTATGACTCTGTTGTTGTAAATGTGATTCTTTATGTGTTTTCATGGGATACATATCTGCTTCTATAAAAGGTACAGGCAATTTTATGGCTTTACCCTCCATAGGTGAAATGGTTTTTGTGGTGAAAGTAGTCGGGTCAGTACTCGTGGATGATTCTTGTTTCAAGAATTCATACGGACAGATTGATGGATGTTCAAGTATTCTGCTTTGATAAGGGAACTTTTCTCTCTCGATATCAAATGATCTCCTTGGATGTTTACGCGCATAATTTCCAGAAGCTGTGCTCACCGAGGTATACAATGGTGTTATTCTAGATTCCTGTTCAATCCGACTAGTAGTGAAGTGATAAATACCAGGTTCACCATATTTGGAAGATGATGGTGTAATACAACTCTGAGTCTTTTCATGTTCATCTATTTTAGAAATATATGGGACTGGTTTCTGAGAAGACCCTGCAAATGTTACAGTTGATATCTCCATAGTATGAGATGGTACTTGCCGTTGACTTTGAGAAAAATATAATATATTCTTAAATTCCTGACCTAGAAAAAAGTTGTCACAAAAAGATTAGTCAATTAGTTCACTGAGAAGTAAGAATTTTTATCATTCGTCGCTAAATTTTATTTATAAAAAAAAATACGACACTTCATCTTGATGAACATTAGACGTCTTCCAATTAAGATAACCTAAAAAGTCTTTTTTAAAGAGTTTTAAATTCTAAATCGGTAAACACAAAATACTTACTTCATTAGATGAATATATCAATGAAGTTAAAGTTCTATCTCTCTGAAAACCAATATTTTATGGATTATTTGTTTCATTGTTATCATGAGTCATAATTACACATCAAACTGTGATGTTGGATGACAAACTATGGTGCTATATGTGCCCGTTTCTGTAGTAATTAGAGTGTTTTTACTGACTTATGCTTTTTTGGAGAAGAAAACGAAATTCAACATAACAAGGCTGATGTGTTTAAAACTTATTTACAATTGTAGTATATGTGAAATGTTATACAGACCTGTCATTATATTAATATATAAAAAGTTGGAGACTAGTGTTTGTCAGCGTTATCGTTTTGTTGTCTTTAATAACATACTTTTTAATAGTTGAGTGAAAATATTTGCTGAATTATTTGTGAAAAAAAGACATCAGTATTGTCAAATAGTTAAGTAATAAAGCGGTTTTTTCTGAAGAAATATCACTATAATAGGATAATAGAAATTTTTTTGGCCTTAGAAACACACTTTTATATAAGGAATGCGTCATCTCCCCTCAAAAATGTATAAGTCAAACATATGTTCTGATACACTTCATTGGTAGATAGATAGATAGTGATTTAAAATTTGAAAGGAATAATTTAACAGATGGATATGTAAAATGTTCAATTCTTGAATAACTCTTTTCTCCAAAAGTAAACTTCAATAGGAAAGTAAAACATTCAAAAATAATATTCAATTTTTAGATTTTATTTTATTAGTAGTCTATAATGAAAAAGAAATGTGTTATTTTGTTAAAACGCTATTCTAACCCTATGCCCTTTAATGTTTTTACTGTATTAATCAATAGAACTATTGCACTATAGTGTAAATTTCACTGTTTAAATAATGGGTTATTTTATTGTTTATTAAGAACATTATTACATAACTGAATCAAATTAATCAGTCTTTTTCTTTAGCATACAATCATATACATAAAATTTTATATTTGCATATACTTAATCATCAATTTTAAGTATAGAACATTAAATAAATTTGTTCCTCATAGCTTTGCTACTGTTTTAATTGAAATCCACTGGCATGCTTACTAGAGCTTAATATAGTAATCCAATAGCAAGTGAAGCAACTAGTTCATTTGAAAGTATCATATTCATTCATTTATGTTTCATAAGCGTTACAGTAGAAGTTTCAAGATTATTTCATTTGAGTAATTGAATTAAGGTGCATGTAAAAGTAGTAAAAGATAAAAATGGCGGCACTCCTGATTTCTTTCTTTCTTGACACATATTCTACCGCTTTACTTATATCCGTTCTAAAATGTAAGCTGTTTATCATAATAATGTAATTCGTAATCAGTTGTTTGAATTTAATATGTCTTCAACATTAAGTATGTTCTGTTCCATGACTATTTGTAAAAATCTTAACAAATTTAAAGTAGAAAGTATTTAAATTAATATAAATGGTTGAGTACTTCGTAAAACCATAATAACAACAGAGTTCAAAAACACCCATTATGAAAGAAAGTAAGGTCCCAGAAAATTTTTCTAAATTTATAATCTTCCTGTCATAATTATAAAACTACCATGAAGGAAAAGCTAAATTTCTATTACTAGTAAGTCAATAATATTTCAATCTATATTTCAATCTATTAATAAGTAATTTTAATTCAATTAGTATTGTTTGTTTGAATCTTCCCATTGATGTTTAGTATTGCAACTGGTCAGTATCTAATTGGCATATGTGTATACTATGCGTACTGCATCCTTATAGCCTTAATTCACAAGCATTGTAAGCAAAGATGGAGTCCCATAGTGAACATCAACTCTGAGATGCAGGTACATCCAACTGACGCGTCCCAAATAGGTCGAAACGCGCGTCCGGGATTCCACTACTAGCCACTATCCATCTTTGCTTATAAGTAATTTTAGCCTTAAAACCAGGATGTTAAGGTTACTTATTTATTATTGTAGCTGTGTGATATTATCATCCTCATCTGCCATTCAGATTTCTTTTACAATTACATCACATCATAAGTCAGCCAAATTATCTTTATCTCAGTGAAAAATTTTATTTCAAAACTTCCCTTTATCTGTAAATATTTTCTATTTGAATAGAATTCCGTTTTTCAGTTGTCTGTTCTATCAGTATGGATGGACAGTTAAAACCAAAATATTTAATTGATCAAATGAGGAAACCGTCGTCTGAAAAAATCTCTTGAAATATTAGGAATTTTATTAATTTGATATTTGATCAGTCTATATTCACAGTTACTTAGTCATCTAGTCGAAAAGAGGATGAAAACAGAAATAAAAAGCAACAGAAGTAAATATCAGGGTAATACTCTTATAATCAATATGACCATTACAAAATGTAACAAGCAAAGGTCCAAACTTGGTTTTTAGAAGATAAGCTACTATATGATACCTAGGTATCAAAAAAGAATGGCAAGTCCGATTTAAGTAGATAACTTTTGAAAAGGGTAGAAGGATCTAACTTTTATTGACGTTATATTTTTATAAAGCTTAAGTAGATTCTTAGGGTGGTTTTACGTAGTCTATATTACCATCTATATTATCATTTATATCAACGAGAACAAATAAGGACTCGAATTCGACCAGTAAATATTGAAATTCCGAATCATTGAAAATCTAAGATTAGTGTTAAATTACTGTAAACAATACACTCAAGTCAATTGGGAATCAACTGATGCGTTAATCTAAATCAAACCTGACAGTTCACTAAGATAGAGATTTCAACTGAATACCTCAATTTCGATAATGTAATAAGAAGACGAAGATTATCAGAACTATGTGATATATTAGCGCAATACATTTCGAACAATCTGATCACACATATACTTGTTAAGAACATTTATATATAAAAATAAAAGGTCAACTAGACTGGTAATAAGGTTAAGAAATAGACAAGGATAATAATGATAAAATAATGTGAAAACAACTTGACACCTAATCACTCTGGATAATAAGCATTTATTACCAGGGTATGTTTAAAGAGAGAACAAACTGTTTTTGAATACACAAAGGGGGTTTGAATTTTCGTATGGCTAAGGCTTCAATAAACCTCAGTATACGCCCTTTTACACTTTTAAACAACACAACAAAAGCTGAGTTAAGATCAATCTTATGACCTGTTTCGATTATATGTTTAGCAACAGAGGATGATGGATGTTTATCCTCTACTCTTATTGGTCTGAAAATTAGGGTGGGTGAACATGTACCAAAATGGTTGCAAAAACAAATACAGTCGAATGACCCAATAAGAGTAGAGGATAAACATCCATCATCCTCTGTTGCTAAACATATAATCGAAACAGGTCATAAGATTGATCTTAACTCAGCTTTTGTTGTGTTGTTTAAAAGTGTAAAAGGGCGTATACTGAGGTTTATTGAAGCCTTAGCCATACGAAAATTCAAACCCCCTTTGTGTATTCAAAAACAGTTTGTTCTCTCTTTAAACATACCCTGGTAATAAATGCTTATTATCCAGAGTGATTAGGTGTCAAGTTGTTTTCACATTATTTTATCATTATTATCCTTGTCTATTTCTTAACCTTATTACCAGTCTAGTTGACCTTTTATTTTTATATATAAATGTTCTTAACAAGTATATGTGTGATCAGATTGTTCGAAATGTATTGCGCTAATATATCACATAGTTCTGATAATCTTCGTCTTCTTATTACATTATCGAAATTTATCAAAGGGACTAATTGCTTTGAATACCTCAAAGTTAATCTGTCAAAACATTCAGGGAGTTTGAAAAGACACTAAGACAGTGAAACCTCCTTAGGCATCTAATCACAAAATAAGTTATCATTAAAGATTGGTCTGTCGTCTGCAAAATAATTTTAAGCAGCTCACTTCCATCTTCAATAAAAGCTTTGAACCCACCTAACGAATATAAAAACATAAAAATATTTAGCATATTCAACAACATATGTTCATCCTCTAAGTGATTAGATTACCACTTTTAAAATAAGGATGATTTAAATATTATTGTTGCAGTCTAAGGTTATCCAGCCATGATTTTGTAGCGCATCCGATACTCAAAAAATCATTGCCAGAGAATGTAAACATCGGTATACAAAGGTACTTATTCAAATTTTATTAACTAAATGTAAAGTTATCATTAATAAAAATGAATCTGTACACAAAATCCAGTTTAAAACAGATACATGTTTATTAATTAATTAGTTAAAATAAAAACTACACTCGAATACTTTATTTATATAAAACCTTTCAATTGTCAACAATTGTGTACAGTTCAATTTTTCAAACAAACAAAAAATAATAAAAACATTAAAACAAGTTGACAAAGGCTTAAAGTCATGTGATTTACCTACGCATTCAATAAAATGAATAATTATGTAGACATACATACGACAATTTGCCCACGCAATAATAATTGTTTAATTTGAAACGTTGAAAATGTTAATTTTCATTAGTCCTCGTTCCTATTTTTTTCTCTTTTATTCTCTTTCGTTTCAAAGTACATGTAAATTCATGACTAGTCATTGTCTATTGTTAATAATTTTATGAAGAGGATTGATAAATACAATGTTTTGTTACTGATTAATGTAAATAAATGTCATTTGTATCAATTCAGAGGATGATGCAAATTCATTCTACAGGAAAATTTGAACTTTATTGTGTCATATTGAGAGGAACTCAATTAAGTGTCTGTGATATATAGTCAGGATGATTATTTAGGAGTTCATATTCACAACTTTAAAAAAACTTCAATATTAGATGACAAAATAGATTTTATTATGCCACTGAGATATATCACATTTTCACCTTTAG